TCTCAAGCATGTAGTTTTTCTATGAGAAGTCATGTTCCCCGAAACGACTCTGAGATAGCTCATGAGACTTGAGGCTCCAGATCTTAGGATTTTTAGGTAGCAATACTGGTACAGTGCCAAGGCAATGCTCAGATTCCGCACCAGCAGAAACACCATACTCAGCCTTCAAAAGACCTATCGCATCTCTTAGCTGTAGGTTTGGTTGGTGGACACCAGAACATCAGGCTAGTATTCCATGCAGATGGCATGGCATGGTGCCCAGGCGTGGGTCCACGTCCACTCCTACCTAGATTTGGTCCTCGCAGAGGCTAAAAGAGTTCTGGAGCCTGGGGGCGTGGTGGTGGTGGAGGACTGTGCTGTGTGTCGGATAGAAATGAAAGGTTGGTGCTTCCTGTTATCGTTCCAAGGACTTCTGTTCAAATGACAGGGGCATTGTCACTGAGCAGGCAGGCCTAAGCATCTCATGTGCACCACTTGTCCATGCGTGCTTCGCATTACCGAGTTCGAGTCAGTGGGAGTAAGCAAGTTCAGTAAGTTCAGTGCAAGGCCATGCAGCACTTCTATAAACGTCTCCATTTTGATGTCGTCCTCGGGCCTGGAGAGTGGCAGCGAAAGGCTGAAGCTGCTGGCTTCTCTGTCGAGCATGTGACCTGTCCGAAAGAGCGTTCCGCGTATGAGAACTTCATTTTTGTCTCCACAAAATTCACAGTCTGCAGTTGCTTCCCGCGTCAAGCTGCCTCAAATGCTTTGAGCACGGCAGGTTGAAGACCTCAAGGATCACATGGCACAAAGCTATAGGCTGATGGCAAATGCGGCGGGCGATCTGGAGATCCTCAGTGCAGATGGATCCCCCCTGGAAGAGACGCTCGGTCTCAGGGTCTTAAACCGATGGCTGCAGCCGAGCAGAGTAGGGTGCGCGTTGGATGGTGCATCATAAGCCATTTACGCTAGCAAAAGCGGTCCATTATGGGATCGCCGACCAGTTCGGCTTGCCGGCTTGTCGAAGCGCGCATGCATGCAGCCATTGTCGAACACGGCAGTCATTCAAAGCCCGCGCAAGCATCAGAGCCAGCCTGCGCAGCAAAGTGTTTGTTTTCTGGATTCGAAGTCAAGGAATTATCGCAACACTGTGGACATCATCCAGAAAGGCGAAGTTAGCATGATTCTGGCTGTGCTCAAGTTGATTGAGTGAGGCTCACCGCGTGTGGCCTGGCACGTTAGACTCAACCCGTTCCTATTAATTGGTTTAACTTCTCGCTAGCCCAGATTCTGGACTTTGCGCTTTTCCCCGCATGCAGCAAGATGCTGCATAAGCGGAAGGACGACACTACCGCAATGCATGTTAACAATTGCATTGTTGTTCACTTCTTTGTGGCACGTTTTGTGGACCCAGTCCAGGCTTCCTTGCCATGTTTACGCAAAGTACGTGAACGTGCGCGCTTGCTTCAGTACTGGCTGACGGTAGCAGTCACATAGCAGTGACAGAAAACAGGCAAGACGTTACGCATAGTCAGGCTCACCTGGGCATTCAAATTGTGGCAGGACCATGGTTACAAATTCTACCTTATGTAGACTCAATCTAGATTGTTCCTGACCGCCCATACCAAGAACACAGGTGAAATTGATTCAGGAAGCAATGGTACAGCCTTCTGGAGAGCACTCCTGGTTCAGTTTGATCATTGCCTCAGCGCTGTGTCTCTTCCAAAGCAGCCGTTCTGCGCTTGATGCATGCTGGAATGGGCATCCAAATGCTTTTTATTGGCCTTGACGAGATCCTTTGCATTAGACGAACATGTTGGGGAAAAGCTTGTCAGTTTAGGCACGGCCGCCGGTCTGCTGCATCCCCTCCCAGCGCCAAAAGTGCTGGGCAACCTGCAGGCAAGAAGGTGCAGACAGGCCAGCTTCATCGGCACACAGGTTTTGACAGGTGGCATCCATAGCTCAAGAATAATCAGCCTCGTGAGAAAACAGATGGTTCGATGTTCTGCAGGCGCCGTAGTGCATCTGCCCTAAGGCAGATTGAATGGCTGCACACACGTGCATGTGCCAGTTCAGGAGGCGTGAGGGTGTGGCTGATTGACGTCATTATTTAGGGTAAGACACCAACATTTGCTAACAGGAGTTGGCACTCTCGGTTCTTGAAGCAGCGCTTCCGGAGCAAGATACTTGGCTCGCCTGAACACGGCATACCCATAGCCATTCCTGTCGTGGCGGCTTGTAAACTGCCCCAAGGAGCGATAACATGATCGTTCCGAGGAGCGGCTCGTAGACGATGCCTTGGAGCAGCCGACCGCCTCTGCAGGTAGCAACTGGGCGATACCAAGTGCTTTCAACCAAGCAAGGCATCCTTTGACAGCCCGGACAGCCTGCGGTCATCCTTTGGCTGTCGACCTGCCGTGATTTCTTCTCGCTAAGGCGATCCCTACGGCCTCGTGCTGTGGCCAGCCGCGCAGGTTGTGGCCGGTGCCCTGCTGGGGCTGCTGAGTTCTTATGCCACGGGCAAGGATAGCAGCTGCCAGAATCATAGCGCCGTGCTTATCACGATTGGCAAACGTGCAGGAGGACCGACGTGCAAGACGAGTTCTGGAGCTCGGAGCTGGCACAGGGCTTTGCTCGCTGGCTGCGGCTGCTGCAGGCCACAAAGCACTGGCCACGGACTATCGCGCCGAGCCCTTGGAGCTTTTGCAACAGGTGGGGGTGCCCTTTTTCCAATGGAGTGTGATTATGAATTTGTGGTAGCCCCGCTGCCCAATTCGAGGCAATGTTAAGAAAAAGGCTGCAGAGAAGTTGCGAAGCAGCTTCATTAGGTCACTAGGTTGTTTGCAAAGAAAGTACTGGTACCAATTGCAGGCCGTGACCTTAAATGAGAAGCAGCTGGGCCGAAGCCTGGCTGTGGAGACAGCGCTTCTGGACTTCACAAAGGATGAGTTGCCCAGCGCTGACGCTTGGAGCGACCATGAAGGAGCCTTCAGCCAGCAGCTCACGCTGACACACTTATCCAGACCTCTCAGGCATATCGGCATAGCATGTCCGAGGCACTGATTGACTCCAGTCATCCCTGTCTCATGTGGACAGCAGAACAAAGGATATCGTGGTAGCAGCTGACCTTCTCTATTTGCGATCTACATCGAAGGCGCTTGCCACAGGCCTTGTCATGCATGCCTTTGAATTAGGTCTGAAAGGGTTTTTCAAATCAACTAGAACATGTCGGTGTGAGTTAAGATGAACTTCTTTATGACGGCGACGTGTACAGACATAACGTAGCAGAGCTCGGTGGCCACCATGCCTAATGCTGGGGACCGTCGCTTATTCTTTTGCAGGTAGCGACCTGCTAGTGACTAGTGCTGCGCGCGAGATGCACAGGGTGAAGGCAAGCTGATCACACGTAAGCTTCGAAGGATGCTTGGCTGCCCTACGTCGTGGAGCAGATGTCCTGGTGGGCGTGTCTTGGTTCATCCTCCCCATCTGCTACCAGAGATACGGACGATCTAGTGGGTCTTGTATTGATTCATCGGCACCTTGCTTGGAGAGCTCAGGACGCCGGCCGCCCTGGCCGACCTGCTTTCCTGGATGCGCTGAAGGGGAAGCTGCGAGGCATGGCAAATGCCGAGGTGTGTCCTGTGCACAACGCTGGGTTAGCGCAGGTGATGCCAGGAAGTTCCAACCTGTGCAGGGGTGGAGCGTTGCCAGCCCGAAGCCTCTTAGCTCTTTTGTCATGACAGCTGAGAGGCCAAGCCACATGATGTCAATGGCTCCTCTCAGGCATGAGCTAATCTCTTCAAGTCAAGCTGAATCAAGCTCCCAGGCTGCAGTATGCAATATGCAGAGATACCAGAGCAAGCGAGAAAACTCCGTTATAAAGGCTGCCACGCATCACTGTCTATTCCAGCAGTTTGCCAAGATGCGCTCGCTGTGGGGCTGCTCCATCTCACGCCAAGCGATCTCGTGCAGCAGAAAATCAGCAAATGCCAGGATCAGCAGCCGTGGTGTCCAGGATTGACTGTGAGGTGTGATGTAAGGTGAGGTGTCATGTAAGTAGCCTTGACGTGTCTGTATATGCGTGTGTGAGTGTGTGACGCTTGGGTTGCGAGCGGCAGACGCTCGGGGATCTCACTGCAGGCTTCAATCAATCAGTGCACTGGAGGCGTGTTGTACCCCTTCAGGAAATACACAGAAGCACATTGGAAGTTGACTATCATTTGCTGTGGAGATGCTAGCTGACGGACCGCAGCTTTCATTAGTATAATTTCATGCCATAATTCCGTCCTGTACAAGACAGATGCTTTTGTGTGATTTTGCAGTCCGTGAAGCCCTGCACTGGAACGCGATGTTGCACACAGCATCCAGTACAGAAAGATGATGAACCAGTGCTGTGCAAACCACGCCATGGGGCGCTCCGTGGCTTTCACGAGACAAAGAGGCCTCATCAGACTTGGCCCACTGCTACTGCTCGCGCTGCTGGCTGCTATGTGGCTGGACATTGAGGGGGGCTAGTGAGTATGTTGGGGCTGCAATTGCATCTTCACACACCATACAAGGGTCAAAGGGTACCAGACCGGACTGGCAGCACCAGCCAATATCCTGGCCCAACAGCATACAGGAATCGAGTCCTCCAAAAAATGCAGGCTGCGCTGTGTCTTCAAACCTTCCTGCCAAGGTCCGAGGGGCGAGTTGCAAAAACTTTCTCGAGCCCATCAACATCTCGTCGCACCTTTGATGTTGCAATGTAAAGATGTTCAATCAAACTGAATCACAACGCTGGGCTCTCAACTCTTCTGATTCCTTTCGGCTTTTTTCTGCTCGTAAGGAAACATCCTGGGCAGTCTTGTAGTGCCTCTCCCAGCAGTGGCAGCCACAGCTCCAGCCCCTCGCCTGCCATAATCGAAAGCTTGGTTGATTGGGAAGAAGATCAAAGGGGCGCCGCCAGTGAATTGCAATTTGAGGGAGCAGTTCATATCAAGCAACAAGCATCCGTGGCGCAGAATGGCCCTCTTGAAGGTATGCGTCTCAAGTCAGAACCGTCTTGTGCTGTGAGTTTTGTGAGCCTGCTGGATGCCAAGATCGGGGATCATGTTTTCCAGCACTTCACTGATCAGCCTGCCGAGGCATTGGATGATATTCGATGGGATGAACCAAAGAGAAAGAAGACGCCTCTGCCGTGACTTGTTCTAATGCACTTCTTACTCGCATCCATATCCAACTCTTTTTGTGAAGCTGTTGTAACTGAAAAGGCCCGTTTGGACTGTGTCAGGCAGCTGGCAGAGGAATTCACGCGCGCATTTCAGCGAACTCAGTGGGGAGTGAATGGACAAGTAGAACCCCGATTCTTTGCTGACAGCTTTGTTTTCCGCAGCTTGGCCAACAGTGCGGACAGTTTTTAGATGACGCTAATTAAAGCGAGCAGGCAGCCAGCTTACAGGCACTGAACTAAAGCTGAAGCCATGAATCAAAACGCTCAATGTCAGAAAGGCCAAAATTTGAGGTGATCCAGACGTGACCACGAATGGCATTCGTGAGTACGCGAAGGGAACTGGCACGGTGCTGTCAGGCTGCAAGGCTGATGCAGTTGAGCCTTTGCTTTGCAGCTAGCCGGGAGTTTGTACATCTGTTTGATTCACTAGGTTTCATTCGGCTCATGCTTGCAGGCTCACGTGCAAGACCAGTGTCAGCCAACAGAAGCGGCATGAAATGCCAAGGACGTTCAGGTCGTGGAGCCTGACAGGTTTGCAATTCGATGGCGCATCGAAGGAACCGCTAACGTGCCCTTCCCCGGTCTCAAGATCAAGCCATACATTGCCCTTCAGCTATGTACTTGCGGAACACTGTTTGTCAGGAGCTCATGAATTCAGTTTGCATGCTCGACCCCGCGGAATCCAGGTCACCAGCACTTTCACTGTCAATGCCGACGGCCTCGTCGACTCAGAAACTGAGCTTCGGCTGCGCTGGGCTTCTCGTTGCACCTGCAGTGCGCGTGTCTTAAGTGAGCAGTCCCGAGTCACTGGTAGTCCTGGTAGTCATTCGCAGATATGTTGGTGCATGTGGCTTGCCCTGACAGTGTTCCACTACGCTGCAAGTTCTGATCTGCACTGAGGATGCGTTCTCCATCCCGACATGGGACATCCTGCTTTCGGCCCTGACTCCGGGACTACCATTCCTGGCGCCGCCAGAGCCTCCCGTAGTATCGCCCTTCGCCTAGGACTCGGCCGGCTTAGCTTCCCACTAGACCTATTGGTCAGAAGCAAAAAGATACCCATGAGCAGTTCGCTGCGAAGGAAGAGACAAACTGGAATTTCCAGACAAGGCTTGTGTTGTATAGGAATGAAGTTACAGTCCCATCAGGGTGCGCCTAGTCCTAATTACTGCTATGCTGGGCCGTGCAAGTCTTGAGCTTCGATCAAATGAAGATGGCCGCAGTCATCTCAGAAACCAGTCTGACTTCAAGTTTTCTGGGCTCGCGATGGTGCTTTTGCTCAAACCTATGCTGGCAGCACATCTCCAAGCGTTTTTGGGGGCTTTTAGTAAGCTGCGATCTATTGCACAGCTATTCTTCGGGTCTTCACCGGCGTTGCAGTTCTGCCTCCACGGCGAGCGGCGGGCGTCATGAATCAATCTGTCTTCAGGAGATACTCTGCCTGGTGCTGGTTCTGAGCAGTTACTCGAAAGGAACACGAAAGACTTGTCCAGGCTTTCGACAGCAGAACATGAGGGTGAGTCGGAGTCGGGGCTCGCAGTTGAGGTAAGCTCGTTGATTCAGCATTATTCTTCATGGCTTTAGGGCTTGATGCTGGGGTTGGCTTGTGACTCATGTGAGTTTGTTACAATCAGGAGTGCAAAGTGGCTCACGCTGCAACTCTTCAGCTCGAAGTGCTGATGGCCGTCGATGTTCAGACAAGCCACACCCAGATCATACCACACGCCAGTCTCTGCATGGCTCCTAGCATTGTCCAGTGTGACAGTTTGATAAGCTGAGCCCTTGCATCGCCGCGGTAAGTGCAACACTTGCTATAGATGATATTGCCATGGAGTGACCGTGCCCTCTCAAGCATGGCAGCTGTGATTGTGGCATGGCCTGTATATGCCGCCAGGCGGAATTCATGGTTGGTAGCTGTACATTGAGTGCAGAATGCAGACCGAATTCATTGTTTTATCTAGAGTATGTTTACAGAAACACTCCCGATAGAGAGAGAGAGAGAGAGATATATATATATATATATATATGAGAGAGAGAGAGAGAGATATATATATATATGTATACAGATATATGCATATCAGTTTTCATGCTGAGGACTGATACGGTTGAAGAGCTGGAGCTGGCCTTGGTCGACTGGGTCAATGCTTGCTGCAGACTCAGAAGTTTTCGCAGGAGCTATGTTTTGGCAACCTGTGTTTGCACAAGTGTTAGTGAAGTAGTTGACGTTGAAGGCATGTTGTAGCTGCTCATCTTTGGAGATGAGGGTTTTTCGGATGTCATGCGCTGCATTGATTACAGAGACTAAGAGAGTCGAACACCGGTCAGCCACGTGTCCCCTAGGCCACCCTGATGCCGAAGCGGAGGAGTTCGATGACCTTGCAGATGGCTCCATCTTGGCAGATCCTTGACCATTTAATTCATCGGCTGTTGTGATGGTTTGCTCTTGCAACTCGTTGGAAACAACGCGCGTGCTGCGAAAGTTCCTCAGGAAGTGCTGCAGCTCTTCGCCCCAGAAGTTGACCCCACAAACAGCGCAGCAGGCCAAGGAGGGGTGATCTTGTGTGGCCCTTGGCCCTCACGCAGCATATTTCCCGAGCTTTCGTGTTCATTCTGGGCATGAGATATCTGGCGGACACCTGGCAAACACACCAAGCCAGCATGTGGCGAGAGTCAAAGAAGCTCTCTCACGAACGTTTGCACTGCGTGTCAGGCAGCGCAAAACTGCTACACGGATGTCTCAGTGCCTATTTCGGCTCCCGAATTGCACTGCCCAGGCCAGAGTTCAAATGCTTTCAAGTTGCGTCGGCTGAAAGCAAACCGAGCTAAGAGCTGCACTGGAGTCGCAATAGCTGAGAGAGAACAACGGACAGATCACAGCACGGCGTGATTCATAGCTGCACTGAATGCTGTTCTGGATTTGGAGCACCAATTGACTGGAAATTTGTGAGAAGCCCACCAGTCTTCGGCCAGGCTGGCTGGCAACATGCACAATGGTGTGCCCTTGCGAAGATTTGGAATCCTGTTTGCTACGTCAAAGACACCGACAGCAATGGACTTCAGAGGGCCTGCAAAAAAATGAACGTTAACCCAGCCAAGCCTTGCAAGACATGCCTGAGGCCTTCTGCAAGCCCGCACTCCTCCGGGCGCTGTGTGAGGCAGTCATGCTGGCGGCCGTGGAGGGCCCGCGCAAGGACACAGCGACTGCATTTAGCAAGCCATTTCGCTTCTTGATCTATGAAAACCCGGATGTGCGTGTAATCCTTGCCTGGGTTGACGTTCCTCGCAGGGTGAGATTGCATGAACTCATCCTTTGCGACCGAGGAGGAGGCGATCCAAGCCATCATGAACCTGGATGAGTCTCCCTCTCAGAGGGGAGCTACAGCAAGGGCAGCGACAATTGAGCGCGAGAATTATTACTGGCAGTATACTATCATTAGCAGTATACTTACCGGAGCCAGATCGCATTCGCTTGTGTATCGGACCTTCTATGAACCTCATGAATGCGTCGGGAATGGGTGACAGACCGATGCAACACTCGCCGTCGATACCTGCACTCATTAGCAAATGCTCTCTACTCGTACAAAGAAAGCCTGCAGGCCCCAACAGCTGGCGCTGGGCTCGGCACTGCAAAGGCTGATGGCTGCTGCGCCCCCAACCGAGCAGCCAGGCACCACCAGCTGCTTTGTTGGCTGTATCTTGATTGTGGGTTTTCTGTAAGAGGTTTCCCCGGGAATTGGGCTGCCCAACATTGTCAGACATTCTGTGCGAGCCACCTGACAGGCTCTTTGTCCAGACAAGGCACGGATGCGTCGCTGACTGACTCTAGTCCCCCGACACCTCGAGCGGACCAGGCGGCATCTTGACCATGCAAGGAAAACATTGTCTTGCTGATGTTGCCTGTGCAGGTGTATAAGTCTGAAGCTGATATCTTGCAGGATGAGTTGCAGGACGGCACTTCTGAACTTCCATCTGTGGATGATCCAAGAAAATGCTACTGCAACTCAACAAGTCCTCTACGACGCTGCGATGTCTGTGCAGATATCAAAGATCCCTGCATCTGCACATGGCGGCGGCTGGCAGCGCTTGCTGCAGGACATGAGGGACCGCCTCAACACTGAAGAAATGGCCATCAGTGGACTCCAAAGCAGCCAGAAGGCGTTGGTGTACTTGATTCACCACGACCGTACTAGCAGCACTTAGCGAGCTGAGCCACCCGGATGTCAGTGGAAACATGTCGCAGAAGACTGCCTTCATTTCCTGCCGCGTCTTGACATGGCAACTGCAGTCTTTGGAAGCGCAGCTTCGTGGCGTGATGGTTGACTACGCCGCAGAGGAGGCAGCACATCTGCATAATAATTGAAAGACAATACAGCAGTGCTTGGTCTTTGTCGTTTAGGGCGAAAGAAGACGCAGTGAACATTCGAGCAGGAACAGGCTGCTGAGACCGACTCGCTGCTGCAGAAATGGCAGCGCAGCCATGGCGAGGACCTGCGCCACTTCAAGGCGGGAGAGTTTGACCTGCTTTCATGCCACATACACACTTAGCGACTAAGCCTAAGCAAATTAAAGCTGGGCCTGGAACCAGCGTGCACATAGCCACAATGCCCGTCAGCGTTACTCGTATCAGGCTGAGTGCCTCATGTACTGCAGTTCATATGTTTTCAGTTGAAAACATTGAACCTGACTGGGCTGAGCTGTTGCTTTGCCAGGCAGAATGCGATGCCTTGCGCTCTGACCTTGATCGCGAAACAGAGGCTTGGCAGGCGAGCGTTGCATGCACACAGGGTCAAGGTGGCGACCGCTGCTCAGCAAGGGAGCCCTAAAAACCACCACGCAAGCAGTAAACATCTCACACGCTTGCATCGAAGAACCCAAGCGCTCAACTTGCTGCCAGTGTGCTGCCACTCTCCTCTTGTTCGTGTGTCTAGCAGGCTTTTAGTGTGGATGGCAGGACATGCCGCAGCGGCAGTCGAAGTTGCAGAAGCAGCTGAAGATGGAAGTGGATGCCCTGCAAGACCTGCAGGAGCCGCCGGGTCTCTAAACCTCTGCTCACCTCCGGCAATGAAGCAGAACTACAAGGCTGCTCCAAGTGAAGATCTTGTTGTACACGGCTTGGAGGGCATTTTGGGCCCAGCCTGTGTCCACATAGTTCTTTGCCTCAAGCTGGTTGGCGCATGTCCACTCTTTGTTCAAGATGACGAAGGACAAGAATGGCAATCTCGAGGTCGAAATCCGGCAGGCTGGCAATGTGCACGACATGCCACGCAAATGAGCCAGCAAATTGCAGGCAGCACAATCGAGCGCCAACGATGACGTGTCAACTGTCGCGTCCCGAGCGCAAACTGCACAGGCGAAGGTTGTTTGTCGTTAATTGGTTGACTAAGACTTCGTGTGTCGACCTGTTTGGCCATTAAGTTGGTTTGAAAATGATAGGCTGATGTAGATCCAGGTCAAAGCAGAGATGCTGACAGCACAAATGCAGCAGGCGAGGTGCCAGTGCTTTTGATCTATTGCAGCTGGTTACTTGGTGCTTTGGATTTTAGATTCATGGCTATGGTCTGGCTGCCTGTCAGAACGTCGTGGATCGCATGCTTCGCAGGGCTGAGCATGAGGACATGCAGTTGTTGTGCAATCCATTCCAGCTTGCTTGGGTCTGGGTCTGGGACTGGGACTGTGATAGCGGCTCTTTGCCTCGGCCTCCGCTGTGTTCTCGGTGGTGGCTTGCTCCTCTTCACAAGGAGAAGGAAGAGATTCGACTTGCCAGGGCCTTGCGTCGCGTAAGCTGTCCTGAGCTGTAGTAGTGAAGTGTTTCTGCTAAACATGCGGGACGCCAGCCGAGGCTAAGTCTTTGTGGGAGGCCTTCCATGTTGCAGAGGCTCCGCTCAGCATGTACACCGATGGGAACCTGCACCCTGCGGTTAGCATACGGTACTCTAACCACGGGGCACCAGTGAACGCTTACAGTAAGCACCTGCGCCAGGTTACAGCTCAGGCTAGAGAGGATTCTTTCCGACAGCTTCGCAGGGTCGCAGAGAAGGCCATAAATGCCTCGATGGGGAGGGCTGGGCCTGGCTGTGCTTCCTGAGACAAGTGGCCTGCGTAGTGTGGTATGTGAAATTACGCAGGAGGAGGAGAGCGAGTTGGATGTGGTGGGCCTCCTTGAATTCCGGGAGAGCGAAATGCGTCAGCTGGAGCAGGCCCACCAGCTGTTTTGTGTCATGACACCATATTTGCGCATCAGTGCTTGCATGCACCCGGCGCACACCCTGCAACTGCAGAGTGGCCGTTCATAAGCGATTTCGTTGATGCCTACTGCAGTCCTGTCCTCATGAGTGCATCCTCAGGCAATTGCTGAGATGGCGCCTTGGCCAGAGCATTGAGCACAGCAGCAGCTGGCAGTGGATACATAGCTGCGCCACACGGCACGTGTCAAGTGTTTGGAGTTCGCCCCAGTAGGATGTGCAATCTGAGGATTCGGGCCCAGCCCCAAGCCAGCAAAGAACCAGCGTTGTCGAAAGCAACGTGTCCTTCACCAAGCGATCTAGCATGCGCCGCTTGGCTACCGCAATATCCGTGCTGCAAACAGAGACTGAATCACTAAGAGTTTTACCGCATGCCGAAACCCCTGCACTTGATCGTATGCGCTGCAGCCATTAGCCTTCAAAGGTGCCAGCATCAGTGGTCCGCCGGGCCGGGCGCCAAAACAAGAGCAAGTGCATGGCCTGCAGCTTTACAAAACCTGTGATTGCCACGCGTTGGCAACCTACTGTCTAAAACTTGGGAAGATGGGAGGCCTTGAGGGATGCACCCTCAGATACAATAAGCTTGCTGGTTCTTTGTTGGTGTTCAGGTGCTGGCGCCGCAGAGCTTCTCCGAGGCCTTCCGGACCTGCAGGAGCCTGGTTCTCAGATGAGTGGTGCTTCACAGAATTTGCCTTAAAAACCTTACAATTGCCACAGGCTCCCGACCTCAGTTGCCAGAGCACCGCCAAGGCGCCGGATTCTGCTCAAAGAGCTGGCCAAGACATCACGTGCGCAGTCCACATGGCAGGGCGAGCCCAGTTTGCACGGTAAGCTGATGGAGGGTATCACGCAAGAAACATCCAACGCGCTCTGCGCATGGTTCTGGCAAGCTTAGGAACTGCAGCAACAGCAGCAGCGAACGCGTGAGCTTTTGGCCTGATCGGCGGTTTGCATCTATTCAGGGCGGCGTTCGTTGCATGCCAGGTGACAATTTTATCGTTTTCAACCTTCGGCATGCGTGTGGCAGAATTTTCTGAGGCTGGAGCATCGCTTGCAACAGCTTTCAGACGAAGCTGCGCAGCTTCACAGTTCCGAGGCTGGTGGAGATGAAACAAGATAGCAAGATGATTAGAAATGATTGCATTTTCCAATCCAGCCCATACTGATTTCCAGGATTTGTCCCTATCAAGTCAAGTCGCAAATCCAAACTGGCCAAGAGGGCCAAGAGTGTTTCTAGTTTTTCCTTCAACGGCCTTTCTACCCCTCTTGCAACCTTTCAGCCCTCACCCCCGACCCTTCGAGGTTTTTGACAGGCCACCCCTGCCACCTCCCTGCTGGGCAATCTTGCGCCAGACTGAAGGCTGAAACATAGCAGCTTGGAGCAACCTCCTCGCTTTCCGCAATCTACCTCAATAGTACACGCACGGTTTTCTTATTATGCGGTTGTCGGCTGATAGTTTGTGCAGATTCAAGACCTTCGTGTATCAGCGTAAGTGTACGCAAAGCAAGTCTATGGTGTTCTTTCCTTTTTTCAAAAATAATCGCATGCATTCTGCGCTGCATGATGCGCACAGTAACTATCATCAGAGTTCTGAATTTGAATCCATCAACCTCATAGAAGTTTGCGTTGTGGCAGCAGTGTGGTTGTTGAGGGCTTGCTGGCCGGTGCGGCGGCAATGGACGTGATGAGTCTATTGTCTGATGATGGGCCTAGCTGTCACTAGCACATAACAGCACCTGATTGCGTGACGGGAGGCTAGGGCTTTGACAGAGCTTGGCGTGAGAAAGCAAGAAGAGACTCGACGGCAGGAAGAGGCATGTAATCAAGCTTGTATTCAAGAAGGCCAGTTTTTTGACAAGCATAACTCCGTGTCAAAGCAGCCTGCGCGGTGCCACGGAAATGCTAGGCAGTAGGATGGCAAGGGCAGATTTGCATCGCATTTAGTGAGCCTCACAAGTTGAGGAGCAGCGATGTGCTGCAGAGCTTCGAGAGCGGGACCATTTGGTGCAAGCGGAAGTCCGGTGACCCGGCGAAAAACTGCCTGTCAGGCCGCAGTGTACAGTATTTGCAGATTGAGTGAGAGGAAGGAGAGGAAAGCATTTGGTTTCAGAGTTGTGCTGCCATGCTAGTCCATGAGGCGAGCCAATCTGGAAAAAGACCAGATGAATGGGGTGCGCCGAGCTGGCCAGCAGACCGTAGCTCACTTATACCGTAGGATTCAGGGACCTTAAGACCTTACAAACCCACAAGTTTATTCAAGTTTCTGGACGCATGCTGAGGCAGAGCTGCAGCGTGAGCTGCTGGTTGCGCGCTCTGAGCTACAAACTCAGCGAGAAGCACCTTGGACAGCAGAGAGTGTCAATAGTTTCTCTCGGAGACTTAATGGGAGGTTCCCAATTTAACGCTTCCTCCAACCAAGCTCGGGAAAAGTTGTTTGGGGGAGGGGCTTGGTCCTGCAGGAATTCGAAAGGCGGGAGTGGTATCAGCTCCGCGCTTGGGCTCAGAGCTTTGAGGCTTTACGGCTTAGAGGTTGGCTGGCTCCCCTTCTCTCCTGTTTCTCTTCTTGTGTGTCTGGGGTTCAAGTTCAGAGCATGCTACTAATGTGGGCTAGGTACCGAATTCATGTAAAGGGGTGAGCGGGTCCCCCCCAAACAAATCTGGATCCTAGCTTTCATTAAAATTCAATAGGAGGGATCAGTCAAATCTGGATCCTTCAATGGGGAGGGATCAGGATTGGCTCGGATCCTAGGTTGAGATTAAATTCAATAGAAGGGATCAGGATCGGCTCGGATCCTAGTTTTAAGTTAAAGTCAATAGGAGGGATTAGGATCGGCTCGGATCCTAAGTTTAGATTTGCTTGAATAGGATGGATCAGGATCGGCTTCGGTAATAGATCAGAAGGGTTTCGGACGGCATTCAGAAAGGTTTGAGAAGTTCAGAGGATTTCAGTTTTCAGAAACGTTTCAGGCTTTGACGAGAATTCTAGAAAAGGATCCGGAGATTTGAGATCTTGAGAGCTTTTTGCTTTTTAATGCTGAGCCTTTACAAGTAACAGGTTTTTGCTTGCTGCTATTTTTAGGGTCCCACGATTTGACAGATAATTGAGGGCCCCCCCAAAACATTCGCATTGTTATTGAGGATCTAGGCAGCTGCTGGACTACCTACCCCCTTGCAAAAAAGATTGCCAATTGCCGGGCCTCCTCGAATCAGCGGTCTCATAAGAAATCGGCAATTTTGGACTTGGCTTCAAACCTGAAAACCCGGAGCTTTTGAGGTCCTCAAAATCCGCAGATTTGAAGTTCTGGAAGCTCTGGACAAATGGTTCAAGTCCAAGTTTTAGGTGTATTTATTCTGTTGATACATTCTCGGAATTTTTTGGGGGCCGCGCAACTTGGCACAATTAAGGGCCCCCAAACGAATCAGGGGGTGCTGAATGATTTCGGCGAAACTTCGCACAATTAAGGCTACTCACACCAATCGGGATCCAACCTTATTCCGTTTTTGCCTTGCTATTGTTCCGCACGCGGTAACAGTTCGCTCTAGTCTGTATCCTTTTCATTATTCCGTTTGGTGCGAAAATTGTTTAAAGGGCCGAACAACCTGAGGCCAATGATGAGAAGTCTCAGCACCTTTCCGATCTGAAGGAGGAGTCCAGCAGCCTGCAAGTCAGCCTGGTGTAATTTGGCAGTATCTCAGACAGTCAAATAGCCTGAACACATGACATCGCAAAGGGTGATTTTGTGAACACCTGGTCCGCCAAGTGGTTTGTTTCTGCAGGAGATGGCAGAGACCGAAGCTGTTCCTGCCCCAGATATGTTGGTTGTGCATGTGTGCTCGTCCGTTTAGGAAATCTTTGTTTCTTTGAAGTCTTGGGCATTTGCCTCGAGTTCATGCCAACGGCATTCATCAGTCAGCAGCAACCAGCAACTACCCTGCGATCTCGGTGATAATTTTCAACACAGATTGCAGACCGCACTACAAGAGCGGTAACCATGAGTCTGGGCAAAGGAATCTGCAAATCTTCGAGAACAACGCGAAGAACAGATGAAAGCTGTTGCGCAACGAGCGCAGTCTCTTGTCCGAAGTGACTTGCTGACCTGATGTTAACTGTTAGCATGCGGCACACTGTATGAGATGTAATTATTATGATGCATGTGCCTGAGCTGCGTGTGACTTGTGCTTACTTTCATTGATGACGAACATTAGGGGCAACGGGGCAACTGCCCAAAAAAACAGAATTTGTCTTGTGTGGACATGTAGCCCTGCACGTTTGCCTGTCAAGGACCAGCGAGGAGAAGAGTCAGTCGAGGGTGGTGGCCGAGGATGGCCAAGAAGATAGCAACTGGCAGCATTGTTAGATTCAGTAAGGGGAGCAGGCTTTGATCCAGGGGCTGTGCGGTTGCACCTGCAGGAGCTTCAGCAAGCAGAGCAAAGTCTTCAGGAAGTGAAGCAGCGGCAGAGAGAGCTCTCCAGCCGCGAGGCGCCGTCGCGGGACATGACCACACAACTGGCACTCTTTGCAAAGTCAGCTGCAGGATGCAGAGTCCGCCAGACTGCAGGGGCCTTGCAGTTCGTCACAAGCAGTGAATAACGAATGTAAGGAGCCAAACTCTGAGGCAAAGATTGCAGCAGAGCCTCGCTGAGGAGCAACGGCGACTCAAGGCCCAGCACGGGGAACTAGGGACTCACGGGATCAGTTTGAGAAGCGCAATGACTCTTTACGGGGCTGCTGGCTTAGGAGCACGAGCTGCGTTCCGAAGCGCAACGACATCAGCTGCAGAATCAGAAAGCAGCGCTGCAAGCCCAGCGTGAAGCCTTGGAGACTCAATTGCAACGATGTTAGGCGATCTCTAGAAGCGTTGCAGTCAGCGATCTTTGCCTCTATCTGCATTGGCTGGCGCTAGAAGCCCTACAAAAGCAGATGCAAGTAGTGCATGCACAATCACAGGTATTGTCAGCTCAGGAAGCACTGAAACTTTTGGCACAAGAGGCCAAAAGCCAAGCTCCACCAAGGCCACCTGAGCACATCATTGCCACATGTTTGCAGCATCATACAGAAGTACAGGAATCATGGAAGGATGGTCTCATTTGTTCCAAAGTCGGGAAGCCTGGTGCGTCACTCCATTATTGATTTAGGCGGTCAACGCATCATCACAGGTCGGCGATGTTGGCTTGAATGCAGTCGCGGCAGCGTAGAATTGTTATGAGTTGTCTGGTGTGTTGAGAGCCTCGAGCTGTCAAAAAAAAAGTTGTCTTGGGTCGCTAATTAAAGATTTGTCATGACAATTGTGGACGCTGTTTCGAAAGAGCTTCATGGCCGGCTACTTCTGCGAATTCATTGACTTGCTAGGTCCTGTGGCCATCAAAATGTGTCAACTGCTTCGAGGGTCACTGCAAGCTACATTTCCTCCAGCTGCCTACAAGAATCCCAAGCAGTGCCCATGAAGGCCATCGCTGAATCTGCAGGCAACTGTCGCTCCAGGGCAGGCTCCCTGAGAACTTGGCTTGCCTAGGCAAGTTGATTGCTATGAAAACGCATCATTAACGGGAAGAAGGTTTCCTGAGATAACATTTGTCAGCTAGGGACAGCATGTGGTGGCATGTTATGTTGCTTTGGGCATTGCAGCCCTGGTTCCTTGCTTGTTCTGTACGCCACGACATAGCCATTCAAAAGGTAAAGCAACCATGCCTCCTGTTTGCCATGGGGCGTGGGGTTCTTGTTGTTGATGTTGCAGTGTGCTGCTGCCAGCCACCACCTCCCCTCTCTCTGCTGTTGAATCGAAATCTGTTCAAAGGAGTCGAGTTGCATCCTGCTGCTAGCTCTTGTTTCGCACGGTGAGCGTGTGTTCGCTGCAACCGCAATTAGGGGAAGCAAGGACGAAGCAAGTTGGTAAAGAGCAGGTAACAGTTTGTGCGCTGCCTTTCAGGCGATGACCCCGGAGCAGGCCGGCACTGCCGCTGCAGCTGCTGCACGGGTCGCGGGCAAGGCCTTGGAGGACACCAAGGAAGAACCATCGCTCCACCATGGTTCTGCCCTGCAAAACGCGGAGAGATGTGACGAGATTGTTGTAGCTGCAGGAGCAGAGTTCTGCTGCTGCCAATGCAGCGGCAGCTGCAGCAGAAGCTCAGGCCGGGGCATGCCAGGTGCAATCTCACAGAGAAAGTGCGATGGTCTTTCTGTTGCACAGAGCTATTTTGGAGTTCTGCACGTGCGCCCAGGGTGCTTCGATTGAACAGCAAACCGCTACAGCTGCAGCGGCTGCAGGGGCCGCAGCTGCTGCTGCTGCGCGAAGTGCAAAGGAGCCTCGGGCCGATCAGGCAGGAGCGATTTCCTATAAAAAGCCACAGCTACAGCAGGAGCCAGAATGTCGTTGTATGAGAAGGTGGCTGCGGCGGCTGCTGCAGCTGCGAAAGCTGCAGAAGCAGCAGGCGCAACCAAGGCGAAGCCATATGCAACACCAGCAGATTCATGGCAAGTATGTCTGTCAGGCAGGAAGTTGGGACTGGCGACCATTTGCATTCCGTGTTTGCGTTCGTGCAGGCTCAGCACACTGCTGTGACGGCAGCTGCTGCTGGCGCAGCCGCAGCAGCCGCTGAGCGCGCGACCGGAAAGACACTGGGCAAAGACATGCAAAGACCGCAAGACATCAAGTGGCGCCCTTTCCTAAACAATGAGCTGCTTCCGGATCTGGGCGGGTTTGAGTCGACGCATTCAGAAGTCTTGCCTTTCCGCTGGTTGGTGGGGTTGACATGCAGTCAGCAGACTTTAAGAGAAGTAGAGCCAACCCTTCATTGGCGCCGCACATCTTGTACATTATCCAAAGCTACTTCCGTGTCCATGGGCCATGATTTTGACGCAAGGAACTGCGATGAGCAGGCTGCCGCTGCAGCAGAGGCTGCTATTGCAGCAGCTACCGAGTGCGGCGGGGGAAAGGACCACAAGCAAAATCATGTTTGCGCTGTTTACGCCGGACACCAGTGATCAATCGTTTGACAGGAAGAAAGGCAAAATGCAGCTGCAGGCGCCACAATTTGGGGGTGAAGAATGGTCAGTTGCCCAAATGTCGCGTCATTGACAGCGGATGGGACGTATGCCGATCTGATTTTTATATCTCTACGTGCTGAGAGGACGAAATGCGCATTCTGAAGAGTGTCAGTCCAAAAATTGTGTTTCGCGGATGCATGTTGGGATTCAGTATCATCAAAATCAAGATGGAACAAATCTGGAGTCCATTCGAAAGGCGCAGCTGGTAGTGCAGCACTGCTGGCTGCAAAGATGGTCGGCATGTCAAAGAAGGACATCCCTGTGAACCTGAGGTTGTGGGGCGTCAGTTGTTGCACGTCTTTCGGGGATGACGGCAAGAATGGCTCTCTTCAATAGCGTTCCTGCACATGCTCGAGGTGGAAACGCTCACTTATAGATATGTCGGAGCCGAATTGCAGGAACAGCTAGGCGCTGCCGCTGAAGCCGCAGCTGTAGCGGCCGCCCGGGAAGGCAGGGCCGGGATCCTTGCTGAGGTGGGAGGCAAGACTTTCTTCGGAGCTTTTGCTTTCGTGAATGACATAGGTGCTCTTCCCGGTCTTTGCTCCGAAGTCGCCCAGGCCCAGCAGCGAAAGCCAGCACAGCTCGGATTGTTCGCACAAGACCACCAGAAGCTGTTTCTTGAGGCCGCAGCCCTCCGCGGCGCCGCAAAGCTCGGCGTTCCGGAGGACCAGGCCAACGGGCCAACGGGCAGCGGATTTCGGCAGATGGCTTTTGCCTGTGTGGAGAACGGTTGCTTGACAGGCCCGGGACATTGCACGCAACTGCGTGGCAAGCAAGAGCACCCCGAAACAGGACAACAGCACACGATTGCGTGTGATAATTTCCAAGCTGAGCTATTGCGGGGGGCAGCTTCCAGTACGCGGTAGCCAGAGTCAACACGCATTCAGACAGGCTTGACTTTGCCAGGATGTTGTGCCCGAGCAATCTTCCAGCACAAAAAGTGGCAAGGCCTGCTCAGAATTCTTTGTTCCCGCTTCCGTGTGCTTTGACTTTTTCTTCGAGGCCTATTGTTAATGCTGACAGGGGCCATGTTGGAAATGGCAATTCCTTAGACAGGCCATGGATATGCTGACACCGCTATGAACCTTTGACGACGTTCAGGTTTTGCTTTTGCACGTGTTGCATTGGGTAATCTTTGACGAAGTGGGGTCAGGAAGGATGCTCTGAGGGATCCGTTCATCTCTGTTGCAGTCTGCAAGCCCATCGCGTATCGCTCCGCTGCAGGCAGCGTTGAAAAAGCTGCGCCTTCAATTGGCAGCGCAGGAAGGAAAGATGAGGCGGCACATTATGCTCCGCCATTCTCATGCATTCTCGTTATTGGCATGGCTGGCGTGCTTCAGCACTGATAGGCCCAGTTGCCAGTATGTCATGCTTTGCGCAGGCAGACGGAGGCTGCATCTGCAGAGAGGAAAGAGGCCATGCGCCGGGAGACGCAGCGACCTGGAATGAATTTTGTGAGGGTGGGCTTGCGCGATGATTGCAAGACTTGTACAATGCTGCACCGTGGTCTTACTCTGGTAGCCCCTTTTCTGCAGCTTGCCCCGTGGCATTCGTTTACAACGTGGAGCGACAAAGGATGCGCTGTCACCACGGACCCATGGTGCAATGCGTAGTTTTGCTCTGGTGCCTCTAGATCCTGCTCGCTTACCAGAATTCCAAACATGATGACATTCTGACATGTCCACGACTCCAAACCGTGCTCAGAGACTCTGACTGCTTCGAGGCTATTGGCGGACAGTCTGCGCGAAGTCGGGCTTCGCTGCCACATGCTGATCGGAAAACATAAGATGCTGCTGGACGACAGGCGCTTTTTTCTGTCGAAACATCAAGGATGATGCTAAGCTAGGGGAAGGGTAGAAGTGTGAAAGCTTTACCCAGCACCTGATCAGGAAGCGACTGGAGGCGGAGGCATGACTCAGACATTTTCCTGGCACAGCTGCTTCGGTACTTGCTTCCTACAAATGTCTAGCACCTCTTCAAAACCTGTTTCACCTGGGCGGCGGTTTGAAGAACAAACGCCAGAGCTCAATCTCGTCGGATGCCTCCCTTCAAAAGGCAGCCCACCCAATGTTGCATTCCATCATGCCCCTTCAATGTGCAAGATGCTTTCCGACATTAAAACAACGAGGCAACAGCTGCTTGTACCCTCGATGAAGCCTCCAACTACAAAACCCTCGTGCTGCCGAGTTGGAGTTGCTCTCCGGCACCCTAGACCTGTCGCATTGTGGGCGCATGGGAACCATAATGGCATGCAGCTTTGCTGGGCCAAGCTTACGTAGTAATCAGGCTGCATCATTCTACTGTAGGTCACCAATTGGGAATCTTGGAGAAACCGACCAGCAATCCGTCAAAGAAGCATCAGTTGGACAAAGCTCTGCATTGACAGGCAGAAACCTTCAATGATCCTCCATGATCAGCCTTGATGTTTTTGCTTACTTGCATAGAACATAGGACAAGCAGCCGAAGGTGTCAAGACTTGGGGTCTGAGCCATGCTTTCAATTTCCAGACGTGCATTCCTTGCCTTGCCAATTCTAGTCGGAGCTGGTGGAGAGCTGGGATTGGTCGGCCTCGGCACTGGGGGCATCAAGGAGGCCCTGAGTGGAGAACAGCAGGACGTCTTCTTTTCAAACCTGAATTTGCTGAACTTGCTCTTTCTGCACTTTCTGAGAGGTCTCCACAGTGAGCGAGGCAATCCGTTTGGGCTACAGAACAATTGACACGGCTTTGCATTATGGGCGGCTCGGCTTGGTCCCTGCTCTGGGTTGCTTTGCCTTGCATGAGTCTGGCATGTGTTTCTGCCGAAGTTGCCCAGGAACCACCACATAATCAAGGATGCGATCGCGCAGACGGGCATGGCACGCGATGAGTTATTCCTGACCTCCAAAGTTGGGCTCTTCCCTTCTTCAATGGAGATTCCGAAGGACCAAGCTGCCAGTATTGCATTGCATTGCGTTGCGACTGGGGTTCGGAGCCGAGAGACTACACCGTTCAGAAGAACTCGTGCGACACAATAAAGTGAAGGATGGCATTTAGGTGTGTACTTTTCACTCGTGACTCTGCCAGCACATTAGGAGCATCAAGCGGCATTTGGTTTCGAAAGGCTTCCAATGCCTGACGGGCTTTCGCAGGGCACCGTGGCAGAAGGGATGTTTTGTGTTTTGCGCATTTGTTCAGCACAGTGGCCGGGGCGCAGATTCAACAGCTGCTGAGCTGAGAGTTAGCAGTAGCGCATTTGAGGATTTCATCCGCTGAACATCAAGGGCAAGGAGCTGGAGGCGTGTGAGCGCGGTGCTGATGCACTGCCTGCAGGTGAGTCTTGCACCTTCCCAAATCATGGCAAGCACTGGGCTCGACTCTCGTATGCCATCGCCCAGATTTTCAGGCCTTGCAGTTGAGTCTGGAGCAGCTGGGCGTTTCGTACTTGGACCTGTGCCTGATCCACTCGCCTGTGACTTCTGCGCTGGACTCTTCCGTATGTCAGTTAGCCCTGGTGCAAAGCAGCACAACCAGGTTACCAGGCAGCGAGGAACACTTAGGATTGGGAGTTTAAGCAGAGACTGGTTGCCCATGGTCTGCACGTTTCAAGATGCTGGCAGCAGGAACTGGCAGCGTCCTTCATCCCTCATGCCGCTTGAAATCTATTAAGCGAATGCTCTGCAAAGGAAAGGATTTTTCAGGAATGTTGCCGAAGATTGCTGGGTGCAAAGCGGAGCTCCTCCCCTGTTGAGGTTTATGGACTTTGGCCGGAGTTTCCGAAGTGGTCTGAAACGTTGGTGAAGGGAGCCCTTGCAGCGCTTGCGATACAAGATTCTCGTGCTGCACCAATCTGCTTTCACAGTCTGCAAGGCTGCGTTTGATTTACATGGTCTTGATGGCAGACATTCTGAGTGCCAGTGCAACACAAATTCACCCTAAATGGCACACGGCAGTGACTGTCTTGTGCTCACCAGCAGCTTCGGTCGGTGGAGCCAAGGAACTTGAGACGCGCAAGAGGGACGCGTACGAGCAGCGAAAACTGCTGCATGGTTCAAAGTGTTCGATGTTGCCAGATAATGCAAAATCCTGTACAGGTGTTGCAGCGCTAGGCTGGTAACCAGAAATTGAAGCCTTTGAGGTCATGGAAAAACTTGGAGGATGCAAAGAGACGCGGACTCTGCAGGAATATCGGAGTCAGCAACTACCCTGTGGCCTTCATGAAGGCCCTCCTGTTTTGCACGTTGCGAGATTGCAAACCCTAGCGAGAAGTGCCATGAAGACTTGACAGCCGTGTTGCGTGCCAGTGGTCCATTCTGGAGGCTCCCAGGTTTCCCACCAGGTCCCGGCCAGAGAATCTTGTAGCCAATGTTGTCAATAAGCTCCTGAATTCGCTTGCTTGTGTTGTGCAATTTCGCCGCAGGCAGGCTTGCGCTTAAACTGCGAACTAGCCAATGCGCCAACCACATCCCCAGCCTTACCCACAGCATATCCTGCCACGGCCTGCACAGCTGTGAGGGCTGTTCGGCATGCAGGAGATTGACGAATACAAGACTATGCCTATCTACAACGAGCAGCAGGAGCTCCATCCATTGGCTCAATTCCGCGACATCCAGGAGAGGCCTAATCCTGCCAGATGCGCTCTTGAGTCATGTGCAGACACAAAGACTGCCGAAGCGGCAGGAGTATGCGAACAGCGCAAATGTGCGCTTGACTGGCTATGGCACAGGACTTGCAGCTGGGCATGTCAATCGATTTGTCTTGACACCGATTTGTGCATTCTGGCCAGGCATCCTGTCCTCGAACGAGGTTGCCAAAAGCATCGCAGCAAGGCTGGGCCGATCCCCTGGACAGGCACGCTGAGCTTTGCCAGTGCGCCAAGACTATCAAGACTGTCCTGTGAAAAAAAGTTGAAGTTGCGCCGGAACCGCATGAGCTTACTCATGCTGCACGCTAGTGTGCGGTCTTTTGGGTATTGCGGCTCTGTGATAGATTGTCTGTAAATGTCCGTTCCGTTCATATGAGGGGTGTACAAAAACCCTGATCTATAATTTTAAATCAACGAAAATCAAGTATATCATAATTTGTGAAAAACCCTGCACGCGCGAGCACAGCGCAACGTTGGCGCAAGGGTTCGAATACGCACGTGATATGAGTTTTCATTAATGTGATCAGCCTGCGAGAAAAATAATTGTGAGCCAAACTGTGCGCGCGCAAGCACGGCGCAAACCCCCAATTCGAGATGAAGTAATATTGGACAAGCCCCATATGGCCGGAATGAGTTCCATGCAATGTTTATCAGGCGTCTTTCGAGGGAGCTCTGTCGTGGATGTTTAATCAACTTTGGACGTGGAGGCTGCAGAGGTCTGGGACCTGATAGGGACCTGCTACTGTATGCTAGAGACATGCTAACATCTACATACTTTATCTCATTTAGGGAAGCTTGCCGGTTCTTTGGCATCACAAGTTGTTCCCGCAGTTTGCTGCAGGTTCTGCTGCGCTGGGCCGTCCAGAAAGGGATTGCAGTTACGCCCGCGTCGAGAAAGGCCCCAGTTGAATCAGTCGCAGACCCTCGCCCAAGCCTCAAAATTGCAACATGTTGCACGCAGGTCGAACGATTGAAGGAAAACCTGGAAGTGCTGAACTTCAAGCTGGAAGACGAGGACCTTTACATTGCTGCGGCGGGTTTGGCTGACGTTGTTGCAGGGTGCATTTCCATGGGCTTGTGTTTTGGTACAAATCGTGCCCAGAATGATTTAGTAGTTGTAGAAATCAATTTTCCAGAAAGGGCTGGCCGCAATCTTTAGAATCCCTGAATCATGAATTCCTGCAGTTGTTTATTATTGATCCCGGAGTAGCCTCCCTTGTAGAAGGATCGCGTTTGATGCCAGCCATGAACAACCAGACGCGTGAACTAAGTAGACATGAGCCACAAGAGCACCGTTGCTTTTCGGAAAGGCCGCACACCTTGCACGCCAGATTATTTCCTGTATATGAGATTCTTTTGATCATGCCCCTCCGTGCTCCCGGAACAACTGTAGGAGCATCAGCGACCGGACTCCCGAAACGGCCTTGAGACTTTGACAATCGAAGTGAATTTCCAATCCAAAACGTACATCTTCCGCACACAATTCTCTCACAGCTCAATTTCAGGATATCAAGATGCTGGACGCATTAGACCAGCAGCAGTTGTTCTATTGGAGGACCAGCATTCTGGTCCCAGCAGCTCTGCGTTATCCATGCTGTGGGGCTTAGTACGCGGTTCATGTCGGTTTCAAGGGCGCTGTAAAAAGTGCAGAAGGGCTAGCAGTTTTCAAACAACTCGAGAGGCATATTAATCATTGTGCAGCTTCTTTGGCCGGTATCAGTTTCTTGTCGTTATCAAGTTAGAAATCCATGCTAGCATTGCTTTTGGGAATGGCTGCTGCCAACCAACTCAGGCAGGTTCGCCAAAGTTGCAGAGCCATTCGGAACTCTGAGCAGCGAAAGGAGACGCTACATTCGTTTACAAAAAGGAGGCTTTGACGATTTGGTTACGAAGGACTATCAACGACGGCCTTTGACGCAGCATATCTCTTATCATAGTCATCTTGTAGAATCTAGACGTTCTGTTGCACTTGGCTTGGAAACCCTTAGCGGGCAGCCAGAGGTCCTACACATCAGTCGTGATCACAAGTCGAAGTTCCCGAGCGCTGTTGTCCTGCCGACCTTTGCTTGCAGTTCTCTGCGGCTGCCACGCTTTTGCCTGTCTCATGAACATCTTGAGATATGATGAACTTTAACCAGATCCAGAAGAGACAAGAGGCAAACTGCGGCATTGTTTTGCTCGTGTGTGAAAACTCATTGAGGCTGGCTTGAGCTTACATAAGAACCCGCGTCACAGGGGTTTATATAGAACTGACACAATCTTATCGGTCGCGTGCCACATCATGGGAAACAATAAGTTTGACAAGACGTTGTCAACGGTAAAACGAGAAGAGTGCAACAAAGAAAAGTTTGTTAGCTGGATTGGGTAGAAGACTGGCCAATAGGTTTTTTGTACCACTCATGTGATGCTTGCTGTAACAATCCGATGGCGCCATGCAGCCTTCAACGAAAGCTTGGCAGCTGCACGATCCTTTGCAACAAGGTCCATTCAGAGCCTTGCCCTTAGCTAGACTGGAATTTAGATCAGTGCGACGGCAATTGTAGAGACTGAGGTGCCCCGCTCTCCGCTTGGTGGCAAACTGCCTTGCTACTTCGCGTGCAGGGATCGCCGAAGGCCTGACAAGGGGTCTTCACACGATGCTTCCTTGGGTGTGCGAGTCGGCATTGCTGAAGTTGTGGCACAAGTTGTATGGGCTGTTGCCACGGGTGGCTTCTCCTTTTGACAAACTTTCATGATACCGTAGCGAGGCAATCCTGTTGGACTGCCACTGCTGCCGTGCATGGCCAAGCGAACAGGGCAGCGCTAGTGGAAGCTGCCATAAACTTGTTGCTTACATGCTCTCGATCCAAGGCTGCGGCACTGACTGTGAGTCGCCCTGGCCACAAGCAGAAGTCAGGCCCGACAAAGCTTTGCTTTGTCGCTTGAGATTCCTGAGCGGGGTGCTTGCTTTGATGTGAAGGGAGCAAGCTGGCCAAAGGCTTCAAGGAGGCTGCATGGGAATTGCATGGCCTCCGCACCCAATCTCGCAATGACTACCAAGTTTGCTTCGCCTGTGTGTCGTCAATGCAGTGTCCCGATGTAATGAAGTGCAGCCTACGTTAAGTCAACTTGCGGAAAACATAAATTAAACTGCACAGATTGCACGGCCTGAAGGAGGCAGTCGTGGAGCAGAGCTTCTCCTACGTTGCGCAACGATTGTCGGAGGGCTTGCGCCAAACCGGGTCGTCGAAGGACCTGAAGCATCTCAAGCTGCCACATGAATGCGTCCAAGTCCTTGTCGCATTGGGGGAAGCCGTCCCCTCGAGAACGTCTTAGAGTCTACAAGGGAGAGCGGAGCAGCACCTTACTGATTTAGGCGTTGTTCACTTTGTACACTTGCCCCTGGTAGGTAAGTTTGTAAGCGTCTTAAAAGCAAGAAGCCTCATATAGACAGCAAATCCCCCTGGCCTTGAAGCCTTCCTGCCAGAGGAGGCAGCTGAGGACGTCAGTTTGCTGTTCGTCCGGGAGGCCCTGATTTGTGTGCTCACCCAAAAAGACGCCAGGCAACATGACATGCAGAAATTGGCAGGCGGCAGATGTCGTAGCAGAACTGCTGCGAAGTCGCCAATGCCCCAGCAACATCCTGAAGCTTCATTAGCAGCTTTGGCAGCCTACTTTCTCTCGGCAGATCAACATGCTCAACTTGTCGTTGCAGCGCATTGGCAGTCATTCTACTGACAGATCAGCAATCTGAGAGGTCCGCGACAGCGCAAGGACCTCATGGATGGGTTGGCAGACCTCCGGTCACCACGTCCAAGAACCCAGCATGTCCTGAGAGCACCTATGGCATATAGGACTGATGCATCGGAACTGGCCAGGTCAGCGGGAAAGCCGAGAAAGAACCTGGCGGCGTCGGATGCATCAGGCCCAGCCCAGAAAGATAAAAGCGCTTCGAGGACCGGTTTGGCTGCACGGCATGGGCAGGCCTTGCAGAATCTGTGTCGCTTTCTCCTGGACTCCACCAACCGCTTGGAGGGCCTGGTGGCAGCGGCTTTAAAAGGGCAACAGGCGACGGGGTAAAAGAGTCACGAGAAGCCTCAAAACAACAATTAGAAGAAGAACCAGAAGAAGAGATGTTCTGATCACCCAGCTGTAACCAAGATTTTCCTTTCGTTTCCCAGGACCCGCGCGGACTGACAATGCGGCGCTACGTGACAGAGGCATTTTGCAAGCGCCAAGAAGTGAGCCGATTAGCTGAGTGCTTCTTAGGCCATCGCGGAGAAGCGGCGCCTCAGGCGCTTGAGCCGTCGCTTTGGCCAGCTGCACCAGGAGGTAGGGTGGCTTCTACGCAGTTTCTTTCAGCAGATTTGTCTCAGAGAGCTGATTCGTGTGTTTGCTTCATATTTTTTGCAAGGTGTTACGCTCGTCAGCACACGGCAGGCAGACTTGAGCATGCCTTGCTTTCTGCAGCAAGGGGATGTACTTTGCGGACGTAAGTGGTCTCAAACTTTCGGATCTCATTCTTGAATTTTGTGGGCTGAAGAGTGGCAGATGGCTTGCACGCAACAATTCGTGGTGCGCAACCTGCCCTTGCCATGCGCAGTCCTAGCGCTGAGTTAGCAGCTGCCTACCGCGATGCGGCTTTGGAGAACATGCGCAAGCGGCGCCCGCCTCAGGAGCTGTCGCATGTCACACACAGTATCGATGAACATGGCTGGCTTTAATGTGCACACAACGCAGACTAGACCTCCCTTATTTGCAGCAAGTTTCCACAGCAGCATCATGCACAGGTGGAATGTTGCGTTCCATGAGTGGTGCGCAGAGGCGCGCAGAAGAGCAGCAGAGCAGCGAATGTTCCAGCATGGCCCGCGGAGCCTGCTTCTCCAGAGGCAATCGCCTACTACTACCTCCTCGACACGAAGGAGAAACCCATTAAATGCAGCAGCTGCTTCATAGAGCAGATGAGTAGCCTCATTTACGAGAGATAGCAGAAGACTGACTAGGCCTAGACGAGTCGGTATTGTTGCATCTCGGTTTGGCGTTCCTTTGGAACTAGAAATGGGCCGCGGATCGAACGAGATAGGCCATAGTTTCTTTTAAGGCAGTAAGAGCCCAGCACATTCCAAAATGACGAACGAGATCATGCGGTTTTGTCAATGTAAGCTCTCAAACCAGATATAAGGCGAGCGAGATGAGGGCCGCGGGTTCGAAATACCGAAGGCCCAGGCCGCAAACAATTTTTTTTAAAAGCGTCGCTGCTCAGAGAAGCCATGGGAGCTTTCGCTGACAGTAGCTCAGCCAAAGGAGCGACACCGATGGATCTACGGTTCACGTGGAGACCGGCCACGCGCAGGAGGCCAAGTCTGCTTGAGCGCCCTTCAGCTCTTTGGTGGTCGACGTTCAAAAGCTCCCACCAGATAGTGGCTTGTTCATACAGGGCACCCCAATAGCTTGTGTCGAAGGCTTCCGTTTTGCATATGCTGTTTTGTTTGCTATTGCTATGTCTCAATGATAAGTAGAGAGCATTAGAGAGCAGATGCGGCACAGCAGAGTTGGCTGGCAGGACCGCAATGTGTTTAAGTCGAGGTAGGCAGCGTAGATGACGAGATTGCTTTCCCAAGGAGACGGTGATCTCCACTGCTCTGCGGAAGGCGGGGCAGGTTAGCAAGCTGCAATCCCAAGTGTAGCCTTGCTTTCAAAATCTGAACTAGGGGCCAAAGCTGCCCGAGCGCAGAGAGCAACTTGCAAAGGCAGCGGATCTGGGGAGCTGCAATGCCAGGTCAGCATGATTTTGAGTCTATTTCTCAAAGTGCAGATTGTACGAAATCCTGGTATTGTTTGGCATGTCAAGTGGGGCTTGCCACGTCAGCTTGCTGCCTGTTCACTCAATTCATTATGGGTTTGGGCGCTAAGTGGTCTTGCATACCGCTGAAGAGAGGTCTGCATTGCAACCGGGCATGAGTTGTTTCCAGAGACGCTTCTTTCTTTGCTAGCTTTAGCTTCTCGGACCCGCGTTGCTTGCTCAGGAACTTCTGCCAAAGTCAGGAGCTCGCCTAAGGCTCCTAGATGTGGGAAGTTGCCGGGGCCTCGCTGATGGGGATGACTGGGCCGACTTATTTTGCAAGCATGTTTGGCATGTGCATCTCAAGAGTTTACATGGTTTCCCCTATGCCATATTTC